TGCGCTAGCGTTGTGCCCAGACGGACAGACGGACGTTGTGCCGACAATCGATTTTTCGGTATAAAGGTCGGACAAAAAATAGATTCTGGCTACACCACTTGTTGTTAGAGGAATTTTTTCCAAATTTGCAACATGATTTATCACTTTTTTCTTTACCAGGGCCCGGTATAAGAGTTTTTTGTGTCGAAAATTCGCGATTTTCCGTCGCACGATCACAATACTTTTTCTCCTTACGTTAGTAAGTGCGAGAAAGAAAAAATTGGAGTATATGGATGGGGGAGGGAAGCTGGTTGGTACTAGCAGCTGGGATTAACAAAGTAATTACTGCATGCATCTGATTCCTTTATATTGCAATTGTTCACGTATCGTTTCAATATACGTATCATTTATATTGCAACAATCACGAATCGTTTTAATTAAAAACACTAATTTTTTAACTTAAAAACCTTACTACCTTTGCTTCGTTATCTATAACCTTGCACTCGTCTTCTTGCCTATTTCAGGAAACATTCACTGCTTTCGATAGATTGATTGCAACTCGCTAGACCCAAGACCAACTACATGTTGTTTGTTCTTGGCAGATTGTTCAGTTCTATTCATTTACATGTATTATTAATATTTAGTATTAATACTGTGAAAAAGCAGTAAAAAATAGCAAGTAGTAATCCTTGTGACACTACATTTCATTTAAAGCACAAATCACGAATTTTGTTTAAATAAAAACTAGAATGTTTTCTAAACGAAAACTCTTTTTTCAATATATAGATATAGCATTTCACTTCATTAATTTTTAACCTCTATCTAAATAAGTAGACATTATCTGACTTAGTAATTTCAAAATATTGATACAGAATGTCATTGATATCAAATCAATTATTTTCTCACTGTTCCTATAATTTTACGTAATGAAGCAATGTTCTCGGATGAGGTGTGACTCGGTAAGCACAAAGGCGAAAGCGTTCTGCATGGTTAATAGTCTCATTACATGCTGCATGTCTCATTACAATCCGGCGGAATTTGGCCTATTTGCCTATTTTTTCCCTTCAATGGAAAACGCAATCGTTTGAGCTACTTAGTATTTTTGAGGTATTAGAATTTTTTTCCAAAACTGTTCCAATTTTGTTTTAAAAATTTTCCCTTCTGTGTCAAAAACGGTACAGAATGTAACCAGTGGTGATTAACCATGGTGATTAAAACAAATCAAATAATATTTTCAATTGTGTTTACATTAAATGTGAAGAAAAAGATCATTACCTGATTAAAGTATGAGCTTGGAAAATTAATTAAACGCAAAAAGGTAGCTACTGCGATTCAAGGCACTTTTTGTTCGAAATACCCAACAATTAACAGAATCTCCGCGACGATTTATCAGAACAATGATGAATGCAAACATTGCATAAAGGTAACTATATTGTTTACTTCATAAACTTTCTACACAAGTACATAAATACAGATAAGAAAAATGTAGTGACTTTTTACTTTCTTGTATACGTACGTATATTCGAAATAATACACGTAGAATATTACTTTCTCGTATACGTACATATTTATATAATTTCTTACTTTATATTGGGTACATACTGTGCATAAAATCTAACATATCAAACTTACATCTATTCCCATTTCTACGCTTAATTCTAACATTTTTTTACATTATGTATATTCCTCTCATCACTTTCACTATTTGCGCAGTCTTATTATTTGCGACTATAGTCTGCCAGCGCGACTTGAGACTGGCTCTTGTGGGGAGTGGCACCCAATGGCGGCCTTGTGTATTCCCCTATGTCACCCTGCGTCGCACTTCACTATCGATCTACTATAGAACCATCTGGAGGGGCACACTCACAATTGTTCCTTCACCGGCTCTGTGGTCACCGATGTACCTCAGGGCGGAGTCGATGTTTACGGAGAACGTTGTACTAAAGTACGTGCACGTAGTAAAGAAAACGTTATGTAAAGAAGCGGAAAAGCGATTTCGAGATATCAACGGAAATACATGTTTTGTTCTCCCCTGATACCGAAAAAGTAGTTTTTTCTGAAACCGTCTGAGCGTCCG